AAGAAATTAAATTAAAAATAAAGGCTCTGGTCAGCATGTCAGTATTTTATATAATAAATAAATATACATACATAAAATTTGCAATGTATATGATCTATTTAAAAATATTATTTAAAAAATATAAGTAGAAATTAGGAATTTAAAACGAAACAATTGAGAACTATGTGAAATACAAGTAATTTATATGAATATGAAACATATAATGAACTTAAATGTTTGACTTTTATTTTTTATTTATTTTTTTTATTTCGTATATTATTTTATTTCAATTTTGTATTTTTCATTATTTTATATATACAATATAGCTGTATTTATTATTGATTATATACTGTTGATGCCAAATTCCATAAAAAAAAAAAAAAAAAAAAAATATTTCAATTTCAATTTTTCAATTTCAATTTATTTCACTCTTTGTTATAATTACATGATATTGTGAATGGTATTTTACAATGTTTGAAGAGTTTAGGCTAATACATAGTCCTTTTCTGCTAAGTTATTTATTTACATACATGACATATGGATATGCGATAACATTATTATTTGGAATAATAATTTATGAAAAAAACAAACTATCAAATTAAATTAAAACAAAAAATAAATAAATAAAATCTAAATAGCAAACAGAAAAGGGAAAGCTCACTCATTGATATTTATAAAGGCAATTTATTGAAAACTAAATGTGTTAAATTGTACTTTTTTCAAAGAAACGTCTTCTTGCACATGCACCGCAAATTGTTATTTAGTTAGTTATTGATTGCTTTTTACTGTATGGGCCAGCAAGAATAATAGACTTAAATTGTTTGGGAGAAATCAAAGTCTTGCAAACTGTTTCTTCTGTAATCAATACGCATTGCTTTGCAGGAAATTTATATGCGATTAGAGCTGAATCAAAATGGCCAAATAACTGTTAAACATTGTATTGTGAGTGTGTTCGTGTGTGTTTTTGGTCTACATTGAAACCAATTTTATTTCAATTCAATTTTGAAGAAATTTTTGCGTTCTACCATTTTTTTTTTTTTTTTTTTTTTTTATATAAATACGAATCTCATGGAAATGCAAGTCAAACAGAAATGCAATTTACAAGCCAAATGCAATTGCCATCCATTTAAATATGCACGCATTTATACCGAGTGCCATTTTCATATGTGTGTCTGGTCATATTTTATAAAGCTTCATATTATCCCCATACGTATGGCCCAGCAGGCCGACTTACCACCCACACACACACACACACACACGCACACAGAGAGAGCTGCACTAAATTGAAATTCTGACTAAAAAAAGAACGAGCAAGTAGAGTAAACTTCACTTTATAAATTACAAATAAGCAACGAAGCCCAACTACAAATGTAGCCACGGCTAGGACGAGCATGCGACTAAGCACATACGTATCCTCTGCAACACCTAAAACCTATGTCTGGATACGGGTTCAGGTTCAGGTTCGGTTTCTGTCCCTGTTCCTGTTCCTTTTCCTGCTGCTGTTAAAGTTCCTGTCATGCGAGCCAGCGAAGCCACAACAAAAACTCCACGCCCACGCCCACGCCCATGCCCACACCCACTTTCCGCCCCCAACTCCAGCTTCTAAAGAAAATTAATTTTTTTTGAAAACCATTAAAAATTAATTTTATTTTATGGAAGAGCTTACACACACATACATACACTCACACACACACACACACACACGAGCAGTTGCAAATGTTATGAAATTTGTGAGAGGCTGACTAAAATGAAACACGAAATTCTACGCCACTTTTTATTGCACAATCTTTCGCTCCCTCTCCCTCGCTCTCTCTCTCTCCCACTCACTCTCTCAATCTGTCTCTCTCTATGACTGTGTGTGTGGGTGGTTCTCTTTGGTCTTGGCATGGTATATTTATAATGCATACAAACACTTGACTGCGTCTCCGCTGCCTCACAGTGGGCGTTAACTGGACGCCCGGGGGCGCCACACTTGACTTGATTCCTTTCTTTCCATTTTTGTGCCTTTTTATACCCGCAACCACCAAGTCCAAAAGGCTAAGACGGGTAGCACGCTTGCTAACTAAATATGTACGGAAAACGTGCGAAATGTGGGCTATTTATATATATCCTTAATCATGATCTAACTGGCATAATTTTATCTAGATCTAGCACTAATCTACCACTAATTTGTAGTGCAAATGTCTAGATTTAGAGTTCTTGTAGCTCAGCTCATATCAAGCTTATTTCAGATAGTGACATATATGTATCTATCCAATCTAATAAAATTCAGTCTGATTTAGCTCTGCTCGATAGTCTGACTACCTCTAAGTTGAGTCTTATTGGAGCATGGGGATTCAGTGGCTTAGTTAAGTTGCAGCTTTTTACAATTTCAATGCCATGCAATCGATTAAAATCGATAATAAATTTTTACATTTTTATTATATCTTGTAAGTCTTAAGAGCTATAATCGCCCAAAAAGTTTTGTAGAATCGTTTAGTTTTCACTAATTTTCATTTTTTTTATCCAAACATATAGTAAAATAGATAGGATTGTCGATATTTAGGCA